AATTTTTTTTTTTTTTTTTTTTTTTTTTTTTTTTTTTTTTTTTTTTTTTTTTTTTTTTTTTTTTTTTTTTTTTTTTTTTTTTTTTTTTTTTTTTTTTTTTTTTTTTTTTTAAGAGGTAGGTAGCATGGCCATTCCAATTCCCATTTATTGGGCAGTCTCCTTTTTGCCTTTTTGTTTTGTTACTTGTCGGTTATTGACTTTTGGGTATCTAGTAAGATTATTTTGGTTGGGACAATTCCATATTTCAAATTCAGTCGAAACCTACAATTAATAAATGTCATGAATAAGCTAGAAAATTACACACATAAAGAGTTGTCCATTCTAGCTTCTAGATTTAGAAAACATTGAAGGCCTCAAAACTAAAACTCGTGAACTAAAAGAATGAGTTATAACCACCGGTTAATTAATAGATCATCTTTTATTATGCTATAACTATTTTTTAGGAATAATTTTTTAATATAGTTTTTATCGCACTGATCTTGATTATGGCAATGAACATGCATTTGTAATTTAGTTGAGGCAAACTAAATTTCTCTTTCTCAATGAATTGTTAAACTCGAACTACAAGATTCTCTATGTATGTGTGATAAGGGGGAAGGGAGTTATGGGCAAGTAACTGAACTTCAATGCGTATTGAAGAGGTTATCCTTTAAATATTCAAGTATTGGGTCTTTAAGCCAATTAGTTGATCATGTATTTTATAATACGCTATCAATGCTTTTAAATGTGTTATGGGCAAAAGTTAGTTGAAAATTGATGTGAAAACTTGAATTGAAGAGGTTGCCATATATGTCTTGAAGCTATGGGTCTCCAAACTATTGAGTTGACATGTTTTGTATGAAGAGATACAATAGGTAATTAATGCTTTCATTAACCCATTAACATTTCAAGAAATGCAAATGGAAAGTCCCCAAAAAAAAAATAAAAATAAAAAACACACACACACACACACACACACACACACACACACACAAGAAAATCGTTTCCCATTCCAAAATAACTTTAAAAATAATTTGATGTTCAGTTACATGTATAGATAATTACTTTGATTAACGTCATGCATTGTCTGATTATTAAACTAATTAGCATTTCATTTGTTCCTTTTTCATATTATCGTTAATAGTAATAGAACTTGGAATGGTTTCGTAATGCACAATGGACTTTGTCATTTGTACCACTGAATTTATACACCTTAGTTGCCCTTGCATTATTGTCTACAATGCATTGGACGAAAAAAATTGTTTGAAATTTAAAATATCCAAATTGGATACTGCTACGTGGCAAAGTGTAAATTATGTAGCAAGATTCTTGCATGATTTACAAAATGGATTCACATTGTGTTCTTTTTCTTATAATTTGATGCAAGTCACAATCCTACAACTTTTAGAAAAACGAGACCATGAAGTATGTAGCAGTAAATTATTGTGCATGTTTTGTTTTGGTTACCATATATGCATCTCTAGTAGGGCTGCACACTATTATATTATTGTATTTGAATAAAAAAAAACAATACAAGCAATCCCCTTGTCACTATTGGAGGTAGAATCCGTGCACTTTTCTAGGTGCTTATAATGATTTGAAAATCTTTTAATCAAAGAATTTAATTATGTTCATCCAAACATCTAATTTGATTAACCCAATTAACAATCCCACTAACTTGAATAATTTAGATAACGCTAAACAAAATTAAATAAGGATGCTAAAATATCCTTCAGGATATTGATAATTCAATGCACTAGTGCAACAAGACTGTCCTAAAAATTTAATGTACCAAGTTGCTTGCACGTTTGTGTAAATAAGGAGTCGTCTATAATGGAAACCTATAAGTACTAGGATCTTAAAAATGGAAGAGAAAAGGGTGCTTTTAATTACATTTGATTGACCATAAGGTCAAGAGAGATCATCTATTAGAATTTTGAAGTTTTTACTAGCACACACACACAAAATTAGGGGAAATTACATAGTAATATATGTTATAAATACAATGAACATTGAACTACGTGCTGAGCACCATGGGGAGGAATGTCAATTTCAAGAATCTTGTGGAAAGTGTTTAATTATTAGAAGGGATGTCAAAACACGTCATTAGGACAAAAAATTTATTGTTGTTTAACTATAGTAATCAGTTGTTAAGGCATATTCCAATTGAATTAGAATGTTTCTAAAGTTGTAACATGGTCCAATTTAAGGAAACAAAGATTACATGTTGAGATTTTAGAAAAGGCTTTGTTGATGATCAGAGAACAGAGAGTGAGTGGTTTTTTTTTTTTTTTTTTTTTACATATTTCTGTGTTTGAAGTGTTAAGAAATACGATACACGTCTTACTTATGAATGACTAAGAAGTATGATTATAATTTTTGACTCGAGAGTGTAATGTAAATGCATGTAAAAGAAAGGAAAACTGAGGATGGTGGTGCCAAAATCAAAGAAATAGCACAATCTTAAAATTTAAACCCAGGAAATATAAATTTATTCAAATCCAATTTATGTCGACTTGTTTGTTTACAAAGAATTAAAAAATGAATACAAATACATATTGTAAAATAATTTATTGAAGATAATCGTAAAAGGAAAAAAAGCATGAAATGAAGTAAATTATTTTCTACTTGTACGTATATAGCTTTGAAAAATGGACCATAATTTATTTTTGCAAATTTTTTTGTCAATTAATGTAATGTTAATATTTGATACCCTATTAAGTCAAAAATATCTGTCTAGAAAAGTAAAATCAAAAGAAACAAAAAAGCGCTATATATATTCGTTGAGGAATCTGCCAGCATCATTGTACCTTTCAAAAAAGCGCTATATTTATTCCCAAAAAACAGACGTTACATACTGCTTCCTCTTTTGAGCAGAAAGAGCTCTGTGCAAATCCACTACATAGCAACCTATGTCATATTCTTGATGCTTATTAAATGATATTGAATGCTAGATTGGGACGGTAGAGCAAAGTGGGGATAAAATCGCATATGGGCACTCCATAAAAGAAGAGGCCATTCCCATTCCAGATCAGTCTGCCATTACTAAGGAAATGTCAGCATTCTGATTGATGGTGTCCTTTATGAAAGGTCAAGTATTTTATATTTTTACTGGCTTATTTAAAAGTGAATGAGATTTTCATCATGAATTTATACGAGGATTGAATATTTGCTGCAGATTGTGGCCCCTATTTTCGCCTCTTATGGAGTTGAGAACCCATTATATGCAGTTATCCAGCTTGACCACTATGAGAAGTGAGCTCGGTATGATCACTTTAAACAAGACCTTTGAGGAACGAGACACTCTCAACGAGAAGATAGTGGTGAGATTTCTATACATTATTTTTTGATGTTTTGTTGTTTATCTCGTTATGATATTGTATAGGATAAGTCTCAAAATGAGATTATTAGTGTGATTTCTCTACTTGTCTTAATCGAATTGGTTTGAAATTTAAATTTGATTTGTATAATGTGCTCTTTGAATCTTGCCCTGCAACCTTTCTTGAGGCTTTCATGTAATGGGTGCAAGTTCTTTTTGCTGCCAGTAGAAGTTAGTTTTGTGGATCAAACAGAGTTTCCAGAAAGAATTTTATATAGCTAACCACAAATTTATTTGGAACAAAATTTAGTATGCTGTGTACATGAAGCTTCTTATCTAATCTCCAACAAACAAATCTCTTTACTTTTATAGATACTTCTTGAGCAAGTGTTTCTTATTAAACAAGTGGTTTATTGAAAGGAAATGTAGTGGTTACAGAATGATAATGTAACATTGGAATTTTGAAAGCATTCAAAGGCAGTGTTGTCTTGTGCAATTATAAGGGATGTATGTCATTTCTAAAATAAGAAATCATCTCCTAATACAAAGCATCTATGTCGATTTTCATGGGATTTAAGTAGGCAAGTATTTTATAATTTTCTCTGTGTGCAATTGAAAATGTGTGTAAATCTGTGTGTAAGAGTGGCTCATCAACAGAAATTTCAAAAACAAGTACTTTTAAATATGTGAAATATTTATTATGTACAGGTGTGGACAAAATAAGGCCAGTATACACTATTATGGATGGTATGGTGAGTTATGCTAAAAGCCTAAAAACGCTCGTGTATTTGAGCTTTAAACTCTGAAAAAAAATTCGAAGGACATCAACAAATGTTTACCATTTAAATACCAATTTTGAGAGTGCTTTCTTGGTGACAGCTTACAAGCTATCATAAATGGTTGATACACATGTAATCATAGAAAATCTGTTCCTCAACTGGTTGTCGTCTGCTATTGTTCTTTAAAATCAGATATCTGTTCTAGTTCATTTGGTAGTTTACATAGTATTAATGACCTGTTTGCATAATTGAGTTCTATTCCATTGAACTTGTCTTTGCAATTTTATTCCTTGCAGATAGCCATCAACGATGCTGCAAAAGACTCGGGTTTGAAATGTCTTCGTTACGAGATAAGTGAGCGACCTGTATGCTGAAATGTCTTTGGTTAAAAAAATTCCTCCTGATTTCCCTGGCAGCTTATTTACTTATCGAAATGTTTCCTTTTCCAGGGGATATATCACCGCCACATGGAGTTAGGGCAGCAGTGGAGATGCAGGCAGAAGCAGAGAGCAAAAGGAGAGCTCAGGTTTTGGAGTCTGAAGGTAACTGGTTTTCCTTCTATCTTTTCTACTGAGAAATTCACATTTAGCCTTGTGTTCGGTCTTGAAATGTGGCATCTAGCATATAATTTGATGTACCACATGGAGGATTACCAGTTGAAAAATTATATAAATGTGCAAGGAACAATGCTATCTTTCAGCCAGACGTTATTTGTAATGATTCAAGCTGTCAAGTGAGGCTTTAATCGTTGTCACATATGATATCTTGTTCACATGTGACTACTCCTTTTCTTTCATTTGCAAGTCTTTGACATATTATTCTGTATTTCTAGATATAGTGTTCTGTTTGTCTGTGATATTTCATGGGTTTCAAAGAATGCACTCGATTCATTATTTGAAAAAATGAAATTAAATTACATCATTAGGCTGTCGAAATAGTATTAGACTTACTTGGCAATTCATTCTGTTAAAATTCAGGTAATTAGCTCAGCCTTAATATGGGAATTTGGTGATATTGCTGCAAAGGTGGTCACACTTTCCACTGCCAAAAGGCAAAAACCATCAGTCTTCAATCTCGTCCCGTGTATGTCTTCTAATCTTTCCTCTTCTTAGTGGGATTTGAATATTTTAATTGGGTTTTGTTTGCGCTATTTTTCATTTTTCGTTTATACGTCGGTTCTTCGACGTTACATATAAGCATTGGATCATTCTCAGGTATTACACTGTTGGATTTACTTTCATCATAGCTTACACTGTTAAATACTTAATTAAACGCTGTTAAACTATTTTCTACTTGTACGTATATAGTTTTGAAAAATGGGCAATAATTTATTTTTTCTTTCTTTTGTGTTGATTAATGTAACGTTAATAATTGATACTTTGTTAAGCGAAAAATATCTTCCAAGAAATGAAAAATAAAATCAAAAGAAAGAAAAAGCCCTGTCGATAATTAAAAACTATAATGATTTTAATGATAATAAGAATTTGCTAAGAGTTCAAAATGGAAATTCGGATGTTAATAGAATGATGTCTTGTGGGGTTTAATGAGAAATTCATCCAACTAATTTAATCATTTAACAATAATTAAAATGAGAATGGAAATGTTAACTAAAGAAATTTCTTTATATGGATTGCAGGTATCTTTCTGTGTATTTATTTGTGAAATAAAGAAATTACAGTGTGTGTGATGTAAAAGCATGAGAAAAAAAAAAAAGAAAAATGGGGGAAAAATGGGGGAGGGTAGTGCCAAAATCCATAAACATTTTTCATCAATTTACAATTTCAAAATGCATTCTAACCCCAAAAAATGGGGCTCATACATATATTTAATAATTCTTTTGAATAAATGTTATAAAATCAATAAAACATTAACAAATTCCATTCTATGAAAAGAAAAGTTATGAAATAGGAAACATAACTAAAGATTGAAACGTAATGAATAACTATATTCTAATAATTTAAATGCACTTGATCTACTTTTGAATTGATTTTTGAAAAAAAGAAAAAAAGAAAAAAAAAAAAAACCTGGCACTTTTCTATTGGACTGTGGATCTCTAAGGCTTAGTTGTGTGGCGCTAGGCTTGGCTATAGTGGGGGCTTGGACTATTTATTGTTCTACCTGATTTTCTTGTCTCTTCATTTTTAAGTTGTGTATGGGAAGATTACATGATATATAGCTTGAGGAGTTCTGTTTGAATGAACTTGAGGTGTAATATGGGCTCCAATTGATTAGATTGATTTCTTCGTTGTTCTGATATTTCTACTTGGCATTTGGTATTTACATTTATTGATGTTATATTTCTCTTCAATTTTCAACATAACATTAGGCAAATATATAAGATTAAAAAGGTATTAGGGATGGCAACTTACTCCACCCCGAACGGGTTGGCAGGGTGGGGCGGGGCGCGGGGCAAGGATGCCCCAACCCCGTGAAGAAAAAAATAAAATTAAAAAATTAAAAATAATTTTATTTCTAAACAATTTATCCGTTAAAAATCCATTTTGAATTTGTATTTTATTTTCTAATTATGACATAATTCGAAACTTTCAAAATGTCAAAAAAATTAAAAAAATTAAACGGGACAACAAATGAGGCAAAAAGTTGCCCATCCCTGAACCCGCCCTGTTGCCATCACTAAAAGGTATCCTGTAAAAACTTAAATTGCAATACATTATATGTTTTTGAGAAATACAATTACTGTTTTATCTAGGATTTAGGAATAATCTTTGCTCAACATGTTTTATTCATTGTTTTCATCAGGTAAATCATTTTTTTGATGATAGTTGGTTTCTTGTTTTTCATCAGTATCCAACACCGCAACAAAATAACTAATCAAACCATCAAGTCTGGAAGCGGACTTCGTCAGGTTTGTTATTTTACCGAGGTTTTTATTTTTCAATTTTATGTCATATCATAATTTATATTTTATATTGAAAATTTTGGTTATTGAATTATGAATTTATGTTTCTTGAAATAGGGATACTGGTGTTTTGATTTTTTTTTGCTATCCTATTGTGTTTGGTAATGTTGATATGAAAAATGAAAATTTTAGGGTTTCTTTTGATATGAAAATGAGAATTTTAAGGTTTCTTTATTTTTTTCATGAACATTGTTACGACGGTCTTGGTGACACTTCCTACTCAACAAAGTTTTGCTTGCCATTATACGTCATTGGAAATATAACCAACTATAAAGTAAATTCCTTGGCCTCTCCATTTAAATAAAAAAAAAAGTCAATAATATACTATCATTATATAAAAAGCCTAATTCTAGCTTCGATTGGCGTTGAATTGATTGTTAAGAATTTTTCGAAATTCAAAAATTGAATTGAAATTTCGTGTTCGAAATTGATGATTGTTGTCACGTGGATCCGTTAACGAAATGATTTTGTACTAAACGTAAATTAAATCGTTGGTTTCAATATTTTAACTGCATATTGAAATGTAATTGGATCATTCTTCAAGGTTTACTTAAATTTTTTTACTCACTGTCACTCTTACTCTCTAGCCTTAGCTATCACTGTGTCACTCTCACTCTTAAGAGTTGATTTTAGACATTTGCTCATAACTTTGAACATTAATGTTCTAAAACATTTTGACATGTAGAGATTGAGTTGAATAATTACAGTATCAAAAAGAATCTAAAATGCATCTCATGAGTAATAAGTTTGAATAGTTTGAAGATAATGATTTTTCATGTCCAAATATTTTGACAAAAATTAACTCTGATTATATTCACGCTTGCTAAAATATTTAATTTTTTAATTTGATAGATAGAACCTACTCAATTGCTTTTAAATTTTTTTAAAACTAGATCTAGGAACTTACACAATTTTAATTTATATATTCAAATGAGTTCTTTGAAGCAATCGAGTTTCATATGGAGTTAATGATAATGAAAATTAAAATAAAGTAGATTACATATGTTTGATATCCTATATTATTCAAATCCTTTTTCATAGAGCCAAAAGTTATAGGTAAACGACAATTTTTTCCAACACGAGGCCACTATGAATCTGCCTTAATCACAGCAATGGGCTCCTAACAGAATGTATAGATGACTTCCATAAAATATATCCCTAGACATTGGTTATGTAAGAGATAGTATCTCATTTGCTAAATGTAACTTTAAATTTTAACTTCTTGTTCAACTCTGAGAAATTAAGACTACAAGGTTTGACAACCACATTAACACCATGAGGTGAAAGAATATTCACAATGTATAATGCATTAGCCTCACCAACATTAGTTACTGTGCTGGTATACGTCTAACTTGTTAGTTCGATGACTATAAAAATCGATGGATAATTCGGTTGTCCTTCCAAAATACTTGATTCATCTGAGCAATTCACTTTATGTTATAAAATTATGTCCATTTGTCTATTTGTATATTTCAAACCACATAGATAAGGAATGTAGTCTTGAGGTTCAATATCATAAATTAACCCAGGATCATCAACCTTGGAAGGGTTGACATAATCAAAAACGACAACAAAAATGTCGACTGGAACGGATTTCTCGTCTTCAATGGAAGCATTATTAAGTTTTACAATATTAGTACTAGTCATAATTCTTGACTTAATGAAGACGTAAGAGAAAATTGGGGTGTGTGCCTGGGAGCAAGACTGCGACACCATCAAGGTGTGGACATGACATCGAGGTACGAGATACCATGTTGAATTTAGATTTTGCACTAGTAATGTTCTAAACGGACAAAGGCCATACCTTAAGAATATTTACACCAAGTCTGATGACATCGGGCTTTAGAATTCCTGGGCTAACCTAATCGGGACATCTAGACGAAAAAAATGCCACTATTGTAGCATTTTTAGCGCCAATTATTTTTCCATTGAACACTATTGTTGCTGTTGGTTTAGATATCAAGTTTTTATAGGCTAGTATCTTTTGCTGACCCTCATAATTGACATTTGTTGTTGGAAGAACATAAGGGTCGAAAAATGTACTAAGTTCCCGATCCTCTACGTTCATTAGAACCATGATTGCACCATCAGCGTTCTTCAACACTTGTCTTTGAAAAATTCTGGATATCATAACATCTAATTTGCAAATGACTATTTTTCTTTGACATCAACACTTCTCAACGATAAAGGAGTGCAATCTGCGGTTTTTGAACCACCAGAATTCAATTCAGGGAAAACAATAGGCAATTGATTTTTTATGAAATGCTGGTTCTCCTTCAAGCTCTTCGTTGTTCCCTAGAACAACCATTGCTAATATTTTACTATTAATGGCTGTTATAGGGAACAACGGGAAGCTCGAGGGAGACTCAACATTTCAATCAAAAGATTTCCATAAAAAACAATTGCCTATCATTTACCTTGAATTGAATTCTGGAGGTTCAAAAACACCAGATTGTACACCTTTGTCATTGAAAAATTTTGATGTCAAAGGAAAGGTAATCCTTTGTAAAGTAGATGTTACGACAACTAGAATTGTTCAAGAACAAGTGGTGAAGAGTGTTTATGATGCTGTCATAGTTCTTATGAATATGGAGGATCGATAATTGAGTACATTTGTCGATCCTTATGTTCTTCTAGCAATAAATGTGAATTATGAGGGCACGCAAACGATACTAGCATGTACAAACTTGATATATAAATCAACAGCAATAATAGCAGTCAAGGGAACACTAATTGGCACTAAAAATGCTCCAATAGTGGCATTTTTTTGTCTAGAGATCCCAATCAGGTTAGCTCAGAAATTTTAAAATCCGATATCATCAACTTGGTATGAACATCCTTGCGGTATGATCTTTGTCAGTTGAAAACATTACCGGTGCAAAATTTAAAATCAACGTAGTGTCTTGTATCTCGATGTCATGTTCACACTCTAGTGGTATCATGGTCTTGCTCCAGAGCACACACCCCAATTTGTCTCTTGTCATCAGTAAGTCAACAATTATGACTAGTGTCGATATTGTAAATTGCAATAATGCTCCCAATAAAAACGAGAAATTCGTTCAAGTTGACATTTCTGTTGTCGTTCTGATTATGTTAACCCTTCCAAAGCTAATGATCCTAGGTTGATTTTGATATTAAATCTCAAAACTATATTCTCTATCTATGTGATCTGAAATACACAAATAGACAAATAAGGACGATTTTACAACGTAAAGTGAATTGCTTAGATGTGTCAAGAATTTTGGAAGGGCAATTGTACTATTTGTCGTTTTCGATAGTCATTGGACTAAAAAGTTAGCCGTATACCAGGACAGTAACACATGTTGGTGAGGCCAATGCACTGTACATCGGATATTTTTCACCTCATGGTGTTAATGTGGTTGTCAAACCTTATAGTCTTAATTTCTCATAATTGAATGAGAAGTTAAAATTTACAATTACGTTTAGCAAATCAGTCACTATTCTTACCTAACCAATGCTCGGGGATATATTTTGTGAAAGTCATCTATACATTATGTCAGGAGTCCTATTGCTGTGATTAAGCCAGATTTGTAGAGGCCTTGTGTTAGAAAAAAATTGTTGTTTAGCTTTAATTTTAGGCTCTATATGAAAAAAAAATTGAATAATATAGGATATCAAACATACTAGTCTACTTTCTTTTTACTTTCCTTATCATAAACTCCATATGAAACAAAATTGCTCCAAAAAATTCATTTGGAAATATAAATTAAAATTAAGTTCTAGATGAAGTTTAAATTTTTTTAAAAACTATTGAGTATGTTGTATCTCTCAAATTAAAAATTTAAATATTTTAACAAGCGTGAATATAATCAGATTTAATTTTGTCAAAACATTTGGACATCAAAAATCATTATCTTCAAACTGATTCAACATTATTACTCATGAAAAACATTTTTAGATTCTTTATGATACTATAATTAGCCAACTCAATCTCTACATATCAAAATGTTTAAAATCAACCCTTGAGACCGAGAGAAACATAGTGATAGCTGAGGTTAGAGAACGAGAGACAATGAGTAAAGAAATTTATGTAACTCTTTGTACAATGATCCAATTTGATTTCAACATGCAGTTAAAATATCGAAACCAAATGTTTAATTTAAGTTTAGTACAAAATCATTTCGTTGATACGTCCACATGACACCGATCATCAATATCTTAACAATTTAACACCAATCGAAGCTAGAATTAGGCTTTTAAATGGAGAGACCAAAAAATCTACTTTATAGCTATTATACTTCAAACCATGTATAATAGCAATCAAAACTTTTTTTGAGCAGGAAGTATCAACAAGGCCATCATGACCATGTTCATGAAAAAAATAAAGAAACCCTAAAATTCTCATTTTTCATATCAATGTTACCAAACACAGTTAGATAGCCAAAAAAAAAAAAACATTTGTCTCTATTTCAAGAAACATAAATCCATAATTAAATAACAAAATTCTTCAAGATGAAATATAAAATGTGATATTGCGACATATAAAATTAAAAAGAAGAAAATCATTAAAAACAAGCC